TCTCTCTGGGTTGAGAAGACCACCGAGAAGGAGATCTCTGATGATGAAGATGAGGAGGAGAAGAAGGATGAGGAAGGTAAGGTTGAGGAAGTTGATGAAGAGAAGGAGAAGGAAGAAAAGAAGAAGAAGACGATCAAGGAGGTTTCACACGAGTGGTCCTTGGTGAACAAACAGAAGCCTATCTGGATGAGGAAGCCGGAAGAGATTACAAAGGAAGAGTATGCTGCTTTCTACAAGAGCCTTACCAACGATTGGGAGGAGCACCTTGCTGTAAAGCACTTCTCTGTTGAAGGTCAACTTGAATTTAAGGCTGTTCTCTTTGTCCCCAAGAGGGCTCCTTTTGATCTCTTTGACACAAAGAAGAAGCCAAACAACATCAAGTTGTACGTTCGTCGTGTCTTTATCATGGACAACTGTGAGGACCTGATTCCTGAATACCTTGGCTTTGTTAAGGGCATTGTTGATTCTGAGGATCTTCCCCTTAACATTTCCAGAGAAATGCTGCAGCAGAACAAGATCCTGAAGGTTATACGCAAGAACTTGGTCAAGAAGTGCCTTGAGCTCTTCTTCGAAATTGCCGAGAACAAGGAGGACTACAACAAGTTCTACGAATCCTTCTCCAAGAACTTAAAGCTTGGCATTCACGAGGACTCTCAAAACAAGTCTAAGCTTGCTGAATTGCTCCGTTATCACTCTACCAAGAGCGGCGATGAGTTGACCAGCCTGAAGGACTATGTAACCAGGATGAAGGAAGGACAGAGTGACATCTTTTACATCACTGGTGAAAGCAAGAAAGCTGTAGAGAACTCTCCTTTCCTTGAGAAGCTGAAGAAGAAGGGTTATGAAGTTCTATTCATGGTTGATGCAATTGACGAGTACGCAGTCGGTCAACTGAAGGAGTTCGAAGGTAAGAAGCTTGTTTCGGCAACAAAAGAAGGTTTGAAACTTGACGAGAGTGAAGACGAGAAGAAGAAGAAAGAAGCTTTGAAGGAGAAGTTCGAGGGGCTATGCAAGGTGATAAAGGATGTCTTGGGCGACAAAGTTGAGAAGGTTATTGTTTCCGACCGTGTTGTGGATTCTCCCTGCTGTTTGGTAACTGGGGAATACGGGTGGACAGCCAACATGGAAAGAATCATGAAAGCTCAAGCATTGAAGGACAACAGCATGGCTGGCTACATGTCTAGCAAGAAGACCATGGAGATCAACCCCGAGAACCCGATCATGGAAGAGCTCAGGAAGAGGGCGGATGCCGATAAGAACGACAAATCTGTGAAGGACCTCGTCCTCCTCCTCTTCGAGACATCCCTTCTCACTTCTGGATTCAGCCTTGACGAACCAAACACCTTCGGAAACAGGATCCACAGGATGTTGAAACTTGGCCTGAGCATCGATGAGGATGCTGCAGAAGGAGACGACACCGACATGCCTCCATTGGAGGATGCCGATGCGGCCGATGCAGAGGGCAGCAAGATGGAGGAAGTCGACTAGAAATAGCTAACAACAAAACCAGTAGTATCTTTTTCATATTTTTTTTTGAGGATTCTGAAGGCCTGTAGTAACTTTTTATCTCTACTGAATGATGTTTCTTTTATGTTTTGTTTTTGGAACCTATGAGATTGCTCTTGATGTTATTAGGGAATGTTTTTTGATAGGAAACTCCTTTTTCTAACCATTAGTCACAAGTTTCATTTTGTCATTTTCCATGCATCTTCTGACTGCTAATTTTTGCATTCGCTGTGGCTACAAAAGCTACAAAAATAGTATAGCAATTTATTTACTATTAACAAATAATAGATAATTAAAATTAAATTAAATTAATTAAAATTGATTAATATTTTTTTTATTAGCAACCTTCATTAATATAAGATATTATTATATTTTATTGTTCTACTAATTAATAATGATGAATTCTACACTTTAAGGAAATTATACTATATAATATAAAATATAAATATCTATTTTGGCTATTTGGTCTATTTTGACTCCAAACTTAAACAATGTCTTTATTCTTTAAATGAAAAGGAATTTCTCATATGAAAGAAAACAGAGGAAATGAGGAACAAAATGCAGAGAAATCCGAAAGAACAAAAAAAAAAAAATATATAGCCAAAACACTTGTTCCCGAGAAATTAATCAAACAACTTATTATAAATCGCCGGCACCGGAGATTTAACCACCGCCGCCACCGCCTTCGCAAAATACATCTACTACGCCTCCAACGAGTCCTCCATCGCCGCGGATTTCTGAGCCAGGTCGGAGAGGTTGGAGCCGACGGAGCCGCCGCGGGAGATGGCGGTGCTCCGGTGGCGCCGGCACCGGAACGATCCGATGTGAGTGGTCGGAGAGCAGAGGCAATTGGATTTTGTGCTGGGCGATTTGGACATCCGCGACAAGGCCGTGGGAGACATGACCAGATTATGCGAGCTCTTCTTCAGCTCGTCGAGATCCAACTCCGGCAGCGCCGATTTGGCGGTCGGCGTTTTGCAGTTCATCTTCGGCTGTTTCGGCTCTGCTCCGACGTGATCCATGGGTTCCGGCTAGAGGCCGACGGCGGGCGAGGGTTGCTCCGCCGCCGGAGATCGGGAGGAGGAGGATTCGTCGGGAATTGGAAGAGAAGAGATGAGATTGGATTGGGGAATTTGGAAGGCATTGTTGTTATTTGTTAAGAAGAGAGGGAAATTGAAGGGTTAATTTTGGGGTTTCAACGAACAAACGCTCTCCTCTATTTTTAATCTTCAATTTATGGCCACTACTACTTTTTCTCTTTGTCGTGGGAGCTTGTCAATGGTCAAAAGGTCTAATTTTGTTTTTTTTTTATTAGGACACGGGTTCGACTTAAGAGAGAAATATCATACACGAGCACCTATCTTGGCTAACCACCGACGTAACATTGACAAATAAGAGAGAAATTCAAAAATTGATCATTGTTTAAAAAAAAATAACAAGCTGTCAATTTTTCAATAGTGATTAGTACATAGGTAGTTGTTCACCCCTTAACATTTAAGGCCCGTGTGTTAACCATTCATGTTTTTAGTTGTTTTTAAAAAACAAAAACCATATATGTTTTGCGGTTCTTCTTTTAACACTAACAGTACACCTTAGCTGCCCTGCGCTGCTATTGACATAACAATGCACCATAGGTTGGCCCAACCCCATTCTCTCGTACTAGGGTTGGCTCCTCGCAGTTCTCCCTTTAACACCCAACAGTAGATAGGAACCGAACTATCTCACGACGTTCTAAACTCAACTCACGTACCACTTGAATCAGTGAACAATTGAACTCTTGGGACCTTCTTCGACCCCAGGATGTGATGAGTCGACATCAAGGTGTCAAACGACTCCGTCAATAAGAGCTCTCGGAGTCATCTGATAATTGTTATTGTTTTTCATTTTTGAAAAATTGAAAACCAAACATAGATTTGATAACTACTTTTGGTTTTCTGTTTTTAAAAAGTTAATGAAAATATATGTTAGAGATAAGAAAAACTCTATATAAAATAGAGATGAGAACGGGATAGGGTCGAAGTCAGGATGCACTCTTCCACAAAAAAAACACACATGAGCACCTATCTTAGTACTGACCGCATTGAAAATTTGACAAATAAGAAAGATAAATGCCAAAGTTCATAATTGTTTTAAAAAATAACGAGTTGTCAATTTTTCAATAGTGATCAGCGGCATCTAAATACTTTCACATGAAAATTTGTGTAGCTAACTTTGAGATGCATGGTTGTTTATGTTCACCCTTGATATTATTTAGTTAAATTCATTATTATTTATTTTACTAATTTTATTTTAGTAAGTTTGAAATAAAATAGTATTTATTTTTGTTACATTTGAATCGGACTAACATAGAAATTAATTTAAGTGAAAAATGCTTATTTTAAAATAATTTATTGAAATTTTATAAATATTGTTTTTTTTTTCCCGTAGAAAACTGGCATGCCCAGTAACCCATGTGTTGTATTTGAAACGTCTTCCTAGTTATATCGCGAATCTTTTAGATAAACCTCTTAAAGAATTAGAAGGCTTAGTATATTGCGATGTGTGATTTGATCAAAATTTTGATTTTACAGATTCAGAATGAGAAACTGTCATCCCATTCAATCGAATCGGGATGCCGTATCTGATACGTCACTTGCTTGAAGCTCAGAATTTTGGGTGTAGTCAACACTCCCATCCCAAATAAAAGGGGAATTGGTCTATGGTCGATTCAGTAATAAATAGGAATTTTTAACCTGTTGAAAGAGATTTTGCTAGCGAAAAAGCTTTCAACGCTGCCCRACGCCCTTTGTTTTTCCAAATATTTTTACGAATACGTTTTTTTGATATAGAAGTGTGCTTTTTTGGAACTACCATTAAAAAATTATAATAAATTATTCATTGCTATAGTTGGATGTGAAAGACATCTATTGTTCAAAACGAATTGTTCTTTACTATTTATTATCCATTTATTCTTTAAATTATATGTTTGGGGATAAAAATACCCTGGACACGTGGGGGACGCTCATTGGTGTTCAGTAAATAAAAGAAGTATCCCAGGTCCTCCTCGAACCTGCCGAGGAGACTGAGTTTACCCATAAACAAGGCTGTGTAAAAAGCCCTGGTTCGACCTAGACGGGTTCGATCTGCTCAAACACGACAKGTTCGACATAAAAAAGACAAAGGTAACCGCCGGTCGTGAGCACTGTCGGACCCGCCACCTATAAATAGAGGGTCTCATTTCACAGTCAGGTATGGAATCTCACCTCGAACTTAATATTGAGCCCGACCATAACTGACTTGAGCGTCGGAGAGTTTGCCCTCTTGTGCAGGTTCACTCTTAAGTTCAGGTCAAGCCGGGGACCAGATTCGAGCTTGGTTCGTTAAACAGCATACTGCAATTCTTTGCATAAACATTATATTATACTCCTAATATAGATATCTAAAATTTAAAATTATTAGATTAGGAACAAAGAAAAAAATATATATATATATAATGTTATTAAAAAAAAAGAATCATTTAATGATTCGTAACGTAATAAACGAACTTAATAAAAAAGAAGTCTTATTTTACTGGATCAACTTGTAGGCTATCTTTTATGATTGATACCAAAATAAAATAGTGTTTTTCGTGTAATTATTCCTTCTTGCTGTATAGCGGGAAATTTTTGTAATGCATACTAAATGATAATAATAAAGAAAATTTTCCATTTCTATATAAGTTTAATTTCTATTTAGTTTTGAAAGTTTCAATTTTTATTTTAATATAAGTTTTGTTCCGCCCTTAAAAAATGAGGGGATGAAAGATGAGAAGAAAACGAGAAGAAAGATGCACCAAGAAGAGGTGGTTGGATGGAGAACTCACAAACTTTTTGTTTGAGATATATGTCAATTACCGCTGAGCTCGCGTTAGTCAATAAATATGTATTTATAAAAGTATCATTACTTTTCTTAAATGTCGTAAAATGTAGTTTTTCTTTTTTTTTGAAACAGAGTAAAATGTAGTTTTTGGTTAAACATAATTATATAAGTTTGTGATTTATGTCATTTTTTACCATTTTAAACCTAATGTTATACATGAAAATAAATATTTTTTAATGCTATTTTTGTAATTTCCTAAAAAAAACAGATCAAAACCAACATCCCATGGCTAAATATGGGCTCAAGACTCAAGACCAAACAACCTCTAGCTTTTTTTTCTTTCCTAGAAATACAATATTTAAAAAATATTTTTGAAATCATTATATTTAAATAATTAGTTTTTCTAAATATGAAAAAAATAATAAACAAACATATGGTTAATTAGTAACTTACTATAATTATATGGTTATTTTAGATAGTAATTGTTATCAATTAAATCTAAGGCGACACACGTCCTAACTCAAATTGAACCATGTAGACCAGTTTAATAAAAAGTGAGTACACCGGGCTCAAACCCGAGTGCACCAGTTCAGTGGGCCAAGCACACCTAGGTTGTTTGTACAAGAGATAGCCAACAATCAAGATACTGATACCTTGTGCCTGAATTGCGATACACTTCTGTTACAGAGAACAGAAACGACCCGAAACGAAACAAGAATCGAGGCCTGAGATCATCGACAATGGGAGACCGGCTCGAGACGTAGAGGGCCAACCCATGCTAAAAGACGACCCGACGTCGAGGCCATCATGGCGCCGACCCCACCTCGTTGTCGGCCTCTCACCTTGGCCTTCAGACGAAGGTGCAACATGAGTTCCTCCGCTCGAATCTAGCGACAAGAGAGTAAACACCCCTGTTTGGGGCCAAGCCCAACATCTACCCTTTTCTGTTGATTAACAATCGTTGGGCCTTGCAACTTCGAATTAGGGCTCAACTACATAAGGTTTTGGAACCACCCTCACAGCTACAAATAGCAATGTAGTCTAACCCTATAGAGGCAAATGACATATCTCTGGCTCATTATTTTCTCAACTCTCCCTCGCTAACTTAGGCATCGGAGCCCGTGTGACTGAGGTTACACCGGTTTAGATCAGTTTGATTTTGCAGGTATCAGTTCCCTTATCATCGAGTTAGGTGTGTGCGAGAAGAAGAACCGGAGGGTCAAAATCCACGAATCAACAATTGACGCCGTCTGTGGGGACGATACATCAAAGCAAGCTTCGTCGAAGCGAAATCCCGATCCGAGGCGAAATCTTGATCTGAGGCGAAATCCAGATCCGTGAGTGAAGCAGCTGACCACTCAGGTGAGGTAGGACCGAGCCCTGATCATCGACTTGATACCGAAAGGCGACATGAATCCTGGTGAGAGTCATCAGCGTTTCGAAAAGAAGAGCCTGAATGAAGCGGCCGACCGCTCGGGTGAGGCAAGACCGAGCCCTGATCATTGATTTAATTCGACCACCCGTGACAGGAAAAGGTCGGCTTCAAGCTCGAATGAAGCGATCGACCTCTCGAGTGAGGCAAGGCCAATCCCTGGTCATCGACTTAATTTGACCACCCATGACAAGGGAGAACCAACTGAGGAGGTAGAATATGTCCCTTTGATAGTCGAAGATCGACGAGTCAACATTGGAACCAGGTTGGGGAATGAGGAAAGAGAAAGCCTTATAAACTTCCTCAGAAGCAGCGCCGACGTGTTCGCATGATCACATGAGGACATGTCGGGAATCAATCGAGGAGTCATGGTACATCGACTCAACGTCGACGAGAGCTGTAAGCTAGTGAAACAGAAGCGTCGCACGTTCAACCAAGAAAGGAACGAGATTGCAGCTGAACAGGTGGAGAAGCTACTGAAAGCAGGCTTCATTCAGGAAGTACATTATCCCCAGTGGATATCCAACGTAGTGCTGGTAAAGAAGCCAAACGGCAAATGAAGAATGTGCATCGACTTCACAGACCTAAATAAGGTATGTTCAAAGGATTCTTTTCCTTTACCTCGAATAGATCAACTGGTTGATGCCACTACAGGGCATGAACGATTGAGTTTCATGGATGCCTACTCCGAATATAATCAAATCAAGATGCATGTACCGGATCAAGAGAAAACTTATTTTAAGGGCATGAACG